GTGAACCAAGAAAAAATTCCACAATTCAATAAACAACTCGTCCAGGGCTGCTCAAAGCTGATATCAAACTATCTCGAAGTTTTGGGCCTTTTTGCCCGTGATTCTTCACTTTGCGACTAAACTATTCACAGCAGTGCCAAATTTTAAGCGTCACTGAATGCGGGTGCCAGCGGCCTACAAGCAAACCAAAAATCAAATCAATGCGACCACTCACATCACAGCTGGTCCATCTTATAGAGAGGTACGTTGAAAGTGACACGTGGGCACAAATGGGCAAAAAGCGACAATTTCTCACCTTTCTGCCCGTTCGAAGCTCAAGAACTGACCATAGCCACCCTGATCTTGTGGTTTGGCTGGACATAGGGAAGTGAACCAAGAAAAAATTCCACATTTCAATAAACAACTCGCCCAGGGCTGCTCAAAGCTGATATCAAACTATCTGGAAGTGTTGGGCCTTTTTGCCCGTGATTCTTCACTTGGCGACTAATCTATTTACAGCAGTGCCAAATTTTAGCCGTCACTGAATGCGGGTGCCAACCCGAAAAGCAAACCAAATATCAAATCAATGCGACCACTCACATCACAACTGGGTCATGTTATAGAGAGGTACGTTGAAAGTGACACGTGGGCACAAAGGGACAAAAAGCAACAATTTCTCACCTTTCTGCCCGTTCGAAGCTCAAGAACTGACCATCGCCATCCTGATCTTGTTGTTTAGCTGGACATAGGGAAGTAAACCAAGAAAAAATTCCACATTTCAATATTTAACTTGCCCAGGGCTGCTCAAAGCTGATATCAAACTATCTCGAAGTTTTGGGCCTTTTTGCCCGTGATTCTTCATCTTGCGACTAATCTATTCACAGCAGTGCCAAATTTTAAGCGTCACTGAATGCGGCTGCCAGCGGCCTACAAGCAAACCAAAAATCAAATCAATGCGACCACTAACATCACAACTGGGTCATGTTATAGAGAGGTACGTTGAAAGTGACACGTGGGCACGAATGGGAAAAAAGCGACAATTTCTCACCTTTCTGCCCGTTCGAAGCTCAAGAACTGACCATCACCACCCTGATCTTGTTGTTTGGCTGGACATAGGGAAGTGAACCAAGAAAAAATTCCACATTTCAATAAACAACTCGCCCAGGGCTGCTCAAAGCTAATATCAAACTATCTCGAAGTTTTGGGCCTTTTTGGCCGTGATTCTTCGCTTTGCGACTAATCTATTCACAGCAGTGCCAAATTATAAGCGTCACTGAATGCGGGTGCCGGCGGCCTACAAGCAAACCAAAAATCAAATCAATGCGACCACTCACATCACAGCTGGATCAAGGTATAGAGAGATACGTTGAAAGTGACACGTGGTCACAAATGGGAAAAAGGCGACAATTTCTCACCTTTCTGCCCGTTCGAAGCTCAAGAACCGACAATCACCACCCTGATTTTTTGTTTGGCTGGACATAGGGATGTGAACCAAGAAAAAATTCCACTTTTCAATAAACAACTCGCCCAGGGCTGCTCAAAGCTGATATCAAACTATCTCGAAGTTTTGGGCCTTTTTTGCACGTGATTCTTCACTTTGCGACTAAACTCTTCACAGCAGTGCCAAATTTTAGGCGTCACTGAATGCGGGTGCCAGCGGCCTACAAGCAAACCAAAAATCAAATCAATGCGACCACTCACATCACAGCTGGGTCATGTTATAGAGAGGTACGTTGAAATTGACACTTGGGCACAAATGGGCAAAAAAGCGAAAAGTTCTCACCTTTCTGCCCGTTTGAAGCTCAAGAACTGACCATAGCCACCCTGATCTTGTTGTTTAGCTGGACATAGGGAAGTGAACCAAGAAAAAACTCTACATTTCAATAAAGAACTCGCCCAGGGCTGCTCAAAGCTGATATCAAACTATTTCGAAGTTTTGGGCCTTTTTGCCCGTGATTCTTCACTTTGCGACTAAACTATTCACAGCAGTGCCAAATTTTAGGCGTCACTGAATGCGGGTGCCAGCGGCCTACAAGCAAGCCAAAAATCAAATCAATGCGACCACTCACATCACAGCTGGGTCATGTTATAGAGAGGTACGTTGAAAGTGACATGTGGGCAAAAATGGGCAAAAAGCGACAATTTCTCACCTTTCTGCACATTCGAAGCTCATGAACTGACCATAGCCACCCTGATCTTGTTGTTTCGCTGGATATAGGGAAGTGAACCAAGAAAAAATTCCACAATTCAATAAACAACTCGTCCAGGGCTGCTCAAAGCTGATATCAAACTATCTCGAAGTTTTGGGCCTTTTTGCCCGTGATTCTTCACTTTGCGACTAAACTATTCACAGCAGTGCCAAATTTTAAGCGTCACTGAATGCGGGTGCCAGCGGCCTACAAGCAAACCAAAAATCAAATCCATGCGACCACTCACATCACAGCTGGTCCATCTTATAGAGAGGTACGTTGAAAGTTACACGTGGGCACAAATGGGCAAAAAGCGACAATTTCTCACCTTTCTGCCCGTTCGAAGCTCAAGAACTGACCATAGCCACCCTGATCTTGTGGTTTCTTGTGGTTTGGCTGGACATAGGGAAGTGAACCAAGAAAAAATTCCACATTTCAATAAACAACTCGCCCAGGGCTGCTCAAAGCTGATATCAAACTATCTCGAAGTGTTGGGCCTTTTTGCCCGTGATTCTTCACTTGGCGACAGCCGTCACTGAATGCACGCGCCAACCCTAAAAGCAAACCAAATATCAAATCAATGCGACCACTCACATCACAACTGGGTCATGTTATAGAGAGGTACGTTGAAAAATTTCACGGTTCGCGTGAGACTCGGCCAAAGGCCCAGTTTTCCGCATCCGCAGGAACGCCACCACCCTCTTGGATCAAGGCGCAGATGCAGCTCCTAAGCGGTGGGAGGTGAGTAGATCAGACCCACCACAAAGTGGTCAAAGACCGAAATCCCATTCACTGCATCCATGTTTCCCTCGTGCCAGGCCACGAGTTCCCAATTAACTGTGGGTCGCAGCACGGCTGGAAAAATCCTTCCGCTTCCAAGCAGGAATTGAACCTGGTACCCTCTGTTTCTCAATCATGGTCTTAGACCATCCCACTATGCCTGCCTGCCTTTCAGCGGCCTACAAGCAAACCAAAAAAAAAAAAAAAAAAAAAAAAAAAAAAAAAAAAAAAAAACGGCCTACAAGCAAACCAAAAATCAAATCAATGCGACCACTCACATCACAACTGGGTCAAGGTATAGAGAGATACGTTGAAAGTGACACGTGGTCACAAATGGGAAAAAGGCGACAATTTCTCACCTTTCTGCCCGTTCGAAGCTCAAGAACCGACAATCACCACCCTGATCTTGTTGTTTGGCTGGACATAGGGAAGTGAACCAAGAAAAAATTCCACTTTTCAATAAACAACTCGCCCAGGGCTGCTCAAAGCTGATATCAAACTATCTCGAAGTTTTGGGCCTTTTTGCCCGTGATTCTTCACTTTGCGACTAATCTATTCACAGCAGTGCCAAATTATAAGTGTCACTGAATGCGGGTGCCAGCGTCCTACAAGCAAACCAAAAATCAAATCAATGCGACCACTCACATCACAGCTGGGTCATGTTATAGAGAGGTACGTTGAAAGTGACACGTGGGCACAAATGGGCAAAAAGCGAAAAGTTCTCACCTTTCTGCCCGTTCGAAGCTCAAGAACTGACCATAGCCACCCTGATCTTGTTGTTTAGCTGGACATAGGGAAGTGAACCAAGAAAAAATTCCACATTTCAATAAACAACTCGCCCAGGGCTGCTCAAAGCTGATATCAAACTATCTCGAAGTTTTGGACCTTTTTGCCCATGATTCTTCACTTTGCGACTAAACTATTCACAGCAGTGCCAAATTTTAGGCGTCACTGAATTCGGGTGCCAGCGGCCTACAAGCCAACCAAAAATCAAATCAATGCGACCACTCACATCACAACTGGGTCAAGGTATAGAGAGATACGTTGAAAGTGACACGTGGTCACAAATGGGAAAAAGGCGACAATTTCTCACCTTTCTGCCCGTTCGAAGCTCAAGAACCGACAATCACCACCCTGATCTTGTTGTTTGGCTGGACATAGGGAAGTGAACCAAGAAAAAATTCCACTTTTCAATAAACAACTCGCCCAGGGCTGCTCAAAGCTGATATCAAACTATCTCGAAGTTTTGCGCCTTTTTGCCCTAGATTCTTCACTTTGCGACTAATCTATTCAGAGCAGTGCCAAATTATAAGCGTCACTGAATGCGGGTGCCAGCGGCCTACAAGCAAACCAAAAATCAAATCAATGCGACCACTCACATCACAGCTGGGTCATGTTATAGAGAGGTACGTTGAAAGTGACACGTGGGCACAAATGGGCAAAAAGCGACAATTTCTCACCTTTCTGCCCGTTCGAAGCTCATGAACTGACCATAGCCACCCTGATCTTGTTGTTTAGCTGGACATAGGGAAGTGAACCAAGAAAAAATTCCACATTTCAATAAACAACTCCCCCAGGGCTGCTCAAAGCTGATATCAAACTATCTCGAAGTTTTGGACCTTTTTGCCCGTGATTCTTCACTTTGCGACTAAACTATTCACAGCAGTGCCAAATTTTAGGCGTCACTGAATGCGGGTGCCAGCGGCCTACAAGCAAACCAAAAATCAAATCAATGCGAACACTCACATCACAGCTGGGTCATGTTATAGAGAGGTACGTTGAAAGTGACATGTGGGCACAAATGGGCAAAAACCGACAATTTCTCACCTTTCTGCCCATTCGAAGCTCATGAACTGACCATAGCCACCCTGATCTTGTTGTTTAGCTGGACATAGGGAAGTGAACCAAGAAAAAATTCCACATTTCAATAAAGAACTCGCCCAGGGCTGCTCAAAGCTGATATCAAACTATCTCGAAGTTTTGGGCCTTTTTGCCCGTGATTCTTCACTTTGCGACTAAACTATTCACAGCAGTGCCAAATCTTAAGTGTCACTAAATGCGGGTGCCAGCGGCCTACAAGCAAACCAAAAATCAAATCAATGCGACCACTCACATCACAGCTGGATCATGTTATAGAGAGGTACTTGAAAGTGACACGTGGGCACAAATGGGCAAAAAGCGACAATTTCTCACCTTTCTGCCCGTTCGAAGCTCAAGAACTGACCATAGCCACCCTGATCTTGCGGTTTAGCTGGACATAGGGAAGTGAACCAAGAAAAAATTCCACATTTCAAGAAACAACTCGCCCAGGGCTGCTCAAAGCTGATATCAAACTATCTCGAAGTTTTGGGCCTTTTCGCCCGTGATTCTTCACTTTGCGACTAAACTATTCACAGCAGTGCCAAATTTTAGGCGTCCCTGAATGCGGCTGCCAGCGGCCTACAAGCAAACCAAAAATCAAATCAATGCGACCACTCACATCACTAGTGGGTCATGTTATAGAGCGCAGCAGCAGCAGCAGCAGCAGAAGGCAAGAGGGCAGTGGCAGCAGAAGGCAAGACCGCAGCAGCAGCGGCAGAGCGCAGCAGCCGCAGAAGGCAAGAGCGCAGCAGCAGCGGCAGCAGAAGGCAAGAGCGCAGCAGCAGCGGCAGCAGAAGGCAAGAGCGCAGCAGCAGAAGGCAAGAGCGCAGCAGCAGCGGCAGCAGAAGGCAAGAGCGCAGCAGCAGCGGCAGCAGGAGGCAAGAGCGCAGCAGCAGCGGCAGCAGAAGGCAAGAGCGCAGCAGCAGCGGCAGCAGAAGGCAAGAGCGCAGCAGCAGCGGCAGCAGCAGCAGCGGCAGCAGAAGGCAAGAGCGCAGCAGCAGCGGCAGCAGAAAGCACGAGCGCAGCAGCAGCGGCAGCAGAAGGCAAGAGCGCAGCAGCAGCGGCAGCAGCAAAAGGCAAGAGCGCAGCAGCAGCGGCAGCAGCGGCAGCAGAAGGCAAGAGCGCAGCAGCAGCGGCAGCAGAAAGCACGAGCGCAGCAGCAGCGGCAGCAGAAGGCAAGAGCGCAGCAGCAGCGGCAGCAGAAGGCAAGAGCGCAGCGGCAGCATAAGGCAAGACCGCAGCAGCAGCGGCAGCAGAAGGCAAGAGCGCAGCAGCAGCGGCAGCAGAAGGCAAGAGCGCAGCAGCAGCGGCAGCAGAAAGCAAGAGCGCAGCAGCAGCAGCAGCAGCAGCAGAAGGCAAGAGCGCAGCAGCGGCGGCAGCAGAAGGCAAGAGCGCAGCAGCAGCGGCAGAAGAAGGCAAGAGCGCAGCAGCAGCGGTAGCAGAAGGCAAGAGCGCGGCAGCAGCGCCAGCAGAAGGCAAGAGCGCAGCACCAGCGGCAGCAGAAGGCAAGAGCGCGGCAGCAGAAGGCGAGAGGGCAGCAGCAGCGGCAGCAGAATGAAAGAGCGCAGCAGGAGCGGCAGCAGAAGGCAAGAGCGCAGCAGGAGCGGCAGCAGAAGGCAAGAGCGCAGCAGCAGCGGCAGCAGAATGCAAGAGCGCAGCAGCAGCGGCAGCAGAAGGCAAGAGCGCAGCAGCAGCGGCAGCAGAAGGCAAGAGCGCAGCAGCAGCGGCAGCAGAAGGCAAGAGCGCAGCAGCAGCGGGAGCACAAGGCAAGAGCGCAGCAGCAGCGGCAGCAGAAGGCAAGAGCTCAGCAGCAGCGGCAGCAGAAGGCAAGAGCGCAGCAGCAGCAGCAGCGGCAGCAGAAGGCAAGAGCGCAGCAGCAGCGGCAGCAGAAGGCAAGAGCGCAGCATCAGCGGCAGCAGAAGGCAAGAGCGCAGCAGCAGCGGCAGCAGAAGACAAGAGCGCAGCAGCAGCGGCAGCAGAAGGCAAGAGCGCAGCAACAGCGGCAGCATAAGGCAAGAGCGCAGCAGCAGCGGCAGCAGAAGGCAAGATCGCAGCAGCAGCGGCTGCATAAGGCAAGAGCGCAGCAGCTGCGGCAGCAGAAGGCAGGAGCGCAGCAGCAGCGGCAGCAGAAGGCAAGAGCGCAGCAGCAGCTGCAGCAGAAGGCAGGAACGCAGCAGCAGCAGAAGGCAAGAGCGCAGCAGCGGCAGCAGAAGGCAAGAGCGCAGCAGCAGCGGCAGCAGAAGGCAAGAGCGCAGCAGCACCGGCAGCAGAAGGCAAGAGCGCAGCAGCAGCGGCAGCAGAATGGAAGAGCGCAGCAGCAGCGGCAGCAGAAGGCAAGAGCGCAGCAGCAGCGCCATCAGAAGGCAAGAGCGCAGCAGCAGCGGCAGCAGAAAGCAAGAGCGCAGCGGCAGCGGCAGGAGCGCTACAGCAGCGCCAGCAAATTGCAAGACCGGCAGCGGCAGCAGAAGGCAAGAGCGCAGCAGTAGCGGCAGCAGAAGGCAAGAGCGCAGCAGCAGCGGCAGCAGAAGGCAAGAGCGCAGCAGCAGCGGCAGCAGAAGGCAAGAGCGCAGCAGCAGCGGCAGCAGCAGCAGCGGCAGCAGAAGGCAAGAGCGCAGCAGCAGCGGCAGCAGAAAGCACGAGCGCAGCAGCAGCGGCAGCAGAAGGCAAGAGCGCAGCAGCAGCGGCAGCAGCAAAAGGCAAGAGCGCAGCAGCAGCGGCAGCAGCGGCAGCAGAAGGCAAGAGCGCAGCAGCAGCGGCAGCAGAAAGCACGAGCGCAGCAGCAGCGGCAGCAGAAGGCAAGAGCGCAGGAGCAGCGGCAGCAGAAGGCAAGAGCGCAGCGGCAGCAGAAGGCAAGACCGCAGCAGCAGCGGCAGCAGAAGGCAAGAGCGCAGCAGCAGCGGCAGCAGAAGGCAAGAGCGCAGCAGCAGCGGCAGCAGAAAGCAAGAGCGCAGCAGCAGCAGCAGCAGCAGCAGAAGGCAAGAGCGCAGCAGCGGCGGCAGCAGAAGGCAAGAGCGCAGCAGCAGCGGCAGAAGAAGGCAAGAGCGCAGCAGCAGCGGTAGCAGAAGGCAAGAACGCAGCAGCAGCGCCAGCAGAAGGCAAGAGCGCAGCACCAGCGGCAGCAGAAGGCAAGAGCGCGGCAGCAGAAGGCGAGAGGGCAGCAGCAGCGGCAGCAGAATGAAAGAGCGCAGCAGGAGCGGCAGCAGAAGGCAAGAGCGCAGCAGGAGCGGCAGCAGAAGGCAAGAGCGCAGCAGCAGCGGCAGCAGAATGCAAGAGCGCAGCAGCAGCGGCAGCAGAAGGCAAGAGCGCAGCAGCAGCGGCAGCAGAAGGCAAGAGCGCAGCAGCAGCGGCAGCAGAAGGCAAGAGCGCAGCAGCAGCGGGAGCACAAGGCAAGAGCGCAGCAGCAGCGGCAGCAGAAGGCAAGAGCGCAGCAGCAGCGGCAGCAGAAGGCAAGAGCGCAGCAGCAGCAGCAGCGGCAGCAGAAGGCAAGAGCGCAGCAGCAGCGGCAGCAGAAGGCAAGAGCGCAGCATCAGCGGCAGCAGAAGGCAAGAGCGCAGCAGCAGCGGCAGCAGAAGACAAGAGCGCAGCAGCAGCGGCAGCAGAAGGCAAGAGCGCAGCAGCGGCAGCAGAAGGCAAGAGCGCGGCAGCAGCGGCAGCAGAAGGCAAGAGCGCAGCAGCAGCGGCAGCAGAAGGCAAGAGCGCAGCAGCAGCGGCAGCAGAAGGCAAGAGCGCAGCAGCAGCGGCAGCAGAAGGCAAGAGCGCAGCAGCAGCGGCAGCAGAAGGCAAGAGCGCAGCAGCTGCGGCAGCAGAAGGCAAGAGCGCAGCAGCAGCGGCAGCAGAAGGCAAGAGCGCAGCAGCAGCTGCAGCAGAAGGCAGGAGCGCAGCAGCAGCAGAAGGCAAGAGCGCAGCAGCGGCAGCAGAAGGCAAGAGCGCAGCAGCAGCGGCAGCAGAAGGCAAGAGCGCAGCAGCACCGGCAGCAGAAGGCAAGAGCGCAGCAGCAGCGGCAGCAGAATGGAAGAGCGCAGCAGCAGCGGCAGCAGAAGGCAAGAGCGCAGCAGCAGCGGCAGCAGAAGGCAAGAGCGCAGCAGCAGCGGCAGCAGAAGGCAAGAGCGCAGCAGCTGCGGCAGCAGAAGGCAAGAGCGCAGCAGCAGCGGCAGCAGAAGGCAAGAGTGCAGCAGCAGCGGCAGCAGAAGGCAAAAGCGCAGCAGCTGCGGCAGCAGCAGGCAAGAGCGCAGCAGCAGCGGCAGCAGAAGGCAACAGCGGCAGCAGAAGGCAAGAGCGCAGCAGCTGCGGCAGCAGAAGGCAAGAGCGCAGCAGCAGCGGCAGCAGAAGGCAAGAGCGCAGCAGCAGCGGCAGCAGAAGGCAAGAGCGCAGCAGCAGCGGCAGCAGAAGGCAAGAGCGCAGCAGCAGCAGCAGGAGCAGCAGCAGCAGCAGAAGCAGCAGAAGGCAAGAGCGCAGCAGCAGCGGCAGAAGAAGGCAAGAGCGCAGCAGCAGCGGCAGCAGAAGGCAAGAGCGCAGCAGCAGCGCCATCAGAAGGCAAGAGCGCAGCAGCAGCGCCAGCAGAACACAAGAGCGCAGCGGCAGCGGCAGGAGCGCAACAGCAGCGGCAGCAAATTGCAAGACCGGCAGCGGCAGCAGAAGGCAAGAGCGCAGCAGCAGCGGCAGCAGAAGGCAAGAGTGCAGCAGCAGCGGCAGCAGAAGGCAAGAGCGCAGCAGCAGCGGCAGCAGAAGGCAAGAGCGCAGCAGCAGCGGCAGCAGCAGCAGCAGCGGCAGCAGAAGGCAAGAGCGCAGCAGCAGCGGCAGCAAAAAGCACGAGCGCAGCAGCAGCGGCAGCAGAAGGCAAGAGCGCAGCAGCAGCGGCAGCAGCAAAAGGCAAGAGCGCAGCAGCAGCGGCAGCAGCGGCAGCAGAAGGCAAGAGCGCAGCAGCAGCGGCAGCAGAAAGCACGAGCGCAGCAGCAGCGGCAGCAGAAGGCAAGAGCGCAGCAGCAGCGGCAGCAGAAGGCAAGAGCGCAGCAGCAGCAGCAGCGGCAGCAGAAGGCAAGAGCGCAGCAGCAGCGGCAGCAGAAGGCAAGAGCGCAGCGGCAGCAGAAGGCAAGAGCGCAGCAGCAGCGGCAGCAGAAGGCAAGAGCGCAGCAGCAGCGGCAGCAGAAGGCAAGAGCGCAGCAGCAGCGGCAGCAGAAGGCAAGAGCGCAGCAGCAGCGGCAGCAGAAGGCAAGAGCGCAGCAGCAGAGGCAGCAGAATGGAAGAGCGCAGCAGCAGGCAAGAGCGCAGAAGGCAAGAGCGCAGCAGCAGCGGCAGCAGAAGGCAAGAGCGCAGCAGCAGCGGCAGCAGAAGGCAAGAGCGCAGCAGCAGCGGCAGCAGAAGGGAAGAGCGCAGCATCAGCGGCAGCAGAAGGCAAGAGCGCAGCAGCAGCGGCAGCAGAAGACAAGAGCGCAGCAGCAGCGGCAGCAGAAGGCAAGAGCGCGGCAGCAGCGGCAGCAGAAGGCAAGAGCGCAGCAGCAGCGGCAGCAGAAGGCAAGAGCGCAGCAGCAGCGGCAGCAGAAGGCAAAAGCGCAGCAGCAGCGGCAGCAGAAGGCAAGAGCGCAGCAGCTGCGGCAGCAGAAGGCAAGAGCGCAGCAGCAGCGGCAGCAGAAGGCAAGAGCGCAGCAGCTGCAGCAGAAGGCAAGAGCGCAGCAGCAGCGGCAGCAGAAGGCAAGAGCGCAGCAGCAGCTGCAGCAGAAGGCAGGAGCGCAGCAGCAGCAGAAGGCAAGAGCGCAGCAGCGGCAGCAGAAGGCAAGAGCGCAGCAGCAGCGGCAGCAGAAGGCAAGAGCGCAACAGCACCGGCAGCAGAAGGCAAGAGCGCAGCAGCAGCGGCAGCAGAAGGCAAGAGCGCAGCAGCTGCAGCAGCAGAAGGCAAGAGCGCAGCAGCAGGGGCAGCAGAAGGCAAAAGCGCAGCAGCAGCGGCAGCAGAAGGCAAGAGCGCAGCAGCTGCGGCAGCAGAAGGCAAGTGCGCAGCAGCAGCGGCAGCAGAAGGCAAAAGCGCAGCAGCTGCGGCAGCAGAAGGCAAGAGCGCAGCAGCAGCGGCAGCAGAAGGCGACAGCGCAGCAGCAGCGGCAGCAGAAGGCAAGAGCGCAGCAGCTGCGGCAGCAGAAGGCAAGAGCGCAGCAGCAGCGGCAGCAGAAGGCAAGAGCGCAGCAGCAGCGGCAGCAGAAGGCAAGAGCGCAGCAGCAGCGGCAGCAGAAGGCAAGAGCGCAGCAGCAGCAGCAGCAGCAGCAGAAGCAGCAGAAGGCAAGAGCGCAGCAGCAGCGGCAGCAGAAGGCAAGAGCGCAGCAGCAGCGGCAGCAGAAGGCAAGAGCGCAGCAGCAGCGCCATCAGAAGGCAAGAGCGCAGCAGCAGCGCCAGCAGAACACAAGAGCGCAGCGGCAGCGGCAGGAGCGCAACAGCAGCGGCAGCGAATTGCAAGACCGGCAGCGGCAGCAGAAGGCAAGAGCGCAGCAGCAGCGGCAGCAGAAGGCAAGAGTGCAGCAGCAGCGGCAGCAGAAGGCAAGAGCGCAGCAGCAGCGGCAGCAGAAGGCAAGAGCGCAGCAGCAGCGGCAGCAGCAAAAGGCAAGAGCGCAGCAGCAGCGGCAGCAGCGGCAGCAGAAGGCAAGAGCGCAGCAGCAGCGGCAGCAGAAAGCACGAGCGCAGCAGCAGCGGCAGCAGAAGGCAAGAGCGCAGCAGCAGGGGCAGCAGCAGAAGGTAAGAGTGCAGTAGCGGCAGCCGAAGGCAAAAACGCAGCAGCAGCGGCAGCAGAAGGCGAGCGCAGCAGCAGCGGCAGCAGAAGGCAAGAGCGCAGCAGCAGCGGCAGCACAAGGCAAGAGCGCAGCAGCAGCGGCAGCAGAAGGCAAGAGCGCAGCAGCAGCGGCAGCAGAAGGCAAGAGCGCAGCAGCAGCGGCAGCAGAAGGCAAGAGCGCAGCACCAGCGGCAGCAGAAGGCAAGAGCGCAGCAGCAGCAGCAGCAGAAGGCAAGAGCGCAGCAGCAGCGGCAGCAGAAGGCAAGAGCGCAGCAGCAGCGGCAGCAGAAGGCAAGAGCGCAGCAGCAGCGGCAGCAGAAGGCAAGAGCGCAGCAGCAGCGCCAGCAGAAGGCAAGAGTGCAGCAGCAGCGGCAGCAGAAGGCAAAAGCGCAGCAGCTGCGGCAGCAGAATGAAAGAGCGCAGCAGGAGCGGCAGCAGAAGGCAAGAGCGCAGCAGCAGCGGCAGCAGAATGCAAGAGCGCAGCAGCAGCGGCAGCAGAAGGCAAGAGCGCAGCAGCAGCGGCAGCAGAAGGCAAGAGCGCAGCAGCAGCGGCAGCAGAAGGCAAGAGCGCAGCAGCAGCGGGAGCACAAGGCAAGAGCGCAGCAGCAGCGGCAGCAGAAGGCAAGAGCGCAGCATCAGCGGCAGCAGAAGGCAAGAGCGCAGCAGCAGCGGCAGCAGAAGACAAGAGCGCAGCAGCAGCGGCAGCAGAAGGCAAGAGCGCAGCAGTAGCGGCAGCAGAAGGCAAGAGCGCAGCAGCAGCGGCAGCAGAAGGCAAGAGCGCAGCAGCAGCGGCAGCGGCAGCAGAAGGCAAGAGCGCAGCAGCAGCGGCAGCAGAAGGCAAGAGCGCAGCAGCAGCGGCAGCAGAAGGCAAGAGCGCAGCAGCAGCGGCAGCAGAAGGCAAGGGCGCAGCAGCTGCGGCAGCAGAAGGCAAGAGCGCAGCAGCAGCGACAGCAGAAGGCAAGAGCGCAACAGCAGCTGCAGCAGAAGGCAGGAGCGCAGCAGCAGCAGAAGGCAAGAGCGCAGCAGCGGCAGCAGAAGGCAAGAGCGCAGCAGCAGCGGCAGCAGAAGGCAAGAGCGCAGCAGCACCGGCAGCAGAAGGCAGGAGCGCTGCAGCAGCGGCAGCAGAATGGAAGAGCGCAGCAGCAGCGGCAGCAGAAGGCAAGAGCGCAGCAGCAGCGGCAGCAGAAGGCAAGAGCGCAGCAGCAGCGGCAGAAGAAGGCAAGAGCGCAGCGGCTGCGGCAGCAGAAGGCAAGAGCGCAGCAGCAGCGGCAGCAGAAGGCAAGAGTGCAGCAGCAGCGGCAGCAGAAGGCAAAAGCGCAGCAGCTGCGGCAGCAGAAGGCAAGAGCGCAGCAGCAGCGGCAGCAGAAGGCAACAGCGCAGCAGCAGCGGCAGCAGAAGGCAAGAGCGCAGCAGCTGCGGCAGCAGAAGGCAAGAGCGCAGCAGCAGCGGCAGCAGAAGGCAAGAGCGCAGCACCAGCGGCAGCAGAAGGCAAGAGCGCAGCAGAAGGCAAGAGCGCAGCAGCAGCGGCAGCAGAAGGCAAGAGCGCAGCAGCAGCAGCAGCAGCAGCAGCAGCAGAAGGCAAGAGCGCAGCAGCAGCGGCAGCAGAAGGCAAGAGCGCAGCAGCAGCGGCAGCAGAAGGCAAGAGCGCAGCAGCAGCGCCATCAGAAGGCAAGAGCGCAGCAGCAGCGGCAGCAGAACACAAGAGCGCAGCGGCAGCGGCAGGAGCGCAACAGCAGCGGCAGCAAATTGCAATACCGGCAGCGGCAGCAGAAGGCAAGAGCGCAGCAGCAGCGGCAACAGAAGGCAAGAGCGCAGCAGCAGCGGCAGCAGAAGGCAAGAGCGCAGCAGCAGCGGCAGCAGAAGGCAAGAGCGCAGAAGCAGCGGCAGCAGCAGCAGCGGCAGCAGAAGACAAGAGCGCAGCAGCAGCGGCAGCAGAAAGCACGAGCGCAGCAGCAGCGGCAGCAGAAGGCAAGAGCGCAGCAGCAGCGGCAGCAGCAAAAGGCAAGAGCGCAGCAGCAGCGGCAGCAGCGGTAGCAGAAGGCAAGAGCGCAGCAGCAGCGGCAGCACAAAGCACGAGCGCAGCAGCAGCGGCAGCAGAAGGCAAGAGCGCAGCAGCAGCGGCAGCAACAGAAGGCAAGAGCGCAGTAGCGGCAGCCGAAGGCAAAAACGCAGCAGCAGCGGCAGCAGAAGGCAAGAGCGCAGCAGCAGCGGCAGCAGAAGGCAAGAGCGCAGCAGCGGCAGCAGAAGGCAAGAGCGCAGCAGCAGCGGCAGCAGAAGGCAAGAGCGCAGCAGCAGCGGCAGCAGAATGCAAGAGCGCAGCAGCAGCGGCAGCAGAAGGCAAGAGCGCAGCAGCAGAAGGCAAGAGCGCAGTAGCAGCAGCAGCGGCAGCAGAAGGCAAGAGCGCAGCAGCAGCGGCAGCAGAAGGCAAGAGCGCAGCAGCAGCGGCAGCAGAAGGCAAGAGCGCAGCAGCAGCGGCAGCAGAAGGCAAGAGCGCAGCTGCAGCGGCAGCAGAAGGCAAGAGCACAGCAGCAGCGGCAGCAGAAGGCAAGAGCGCAGCAGCAGCGCCAGCAGAAGGCAAGAGTGCAGCAGCAGCGGCAGCAGAAGGCAAAAGCGCAGCAGCTGCGGCAGCAGAAGGCAAGAGCGCAGCAGCAGCGGCAGCAGAAGGCAACAGCGAAGGAGCAGCGGCAGCAGAAGGCAAGAGCGCAGCAGCTGCGGCAGCAGAAGGCAACAGCGCAGCAGCAGCGGCAGCAGAAGGCAAGAGCGCAGCTGCAGCGGCAGCGGAAGCCAAGAGCGCAGCAGCAGCGGCAGCAGAAGGCAAGAGCGCAGCAGCAGCAGCAGCAGAAGGCAAGAGTGCAGCAGCAGCGGCAGCAGAAGGCAAGAGCGCAGCAGCAGCGACAGCAGAAGGCAAGAGCGCAGCAGCAGCGGCAGCAGAAGGCAAGAGCGCAGCAGCAGCAGCAGCAGCAGAAGGCAAGAGTGCAGCAGCAGCAGCAGCAGAAGGCAAGAGCGCAGCAGCAGCGGCAGCAGAAGGCAAGAGCGCAGCAGCAGCGGCAGCAGAAGGCAAGAGCGCAGCAGCAGCGGCCGCAGAAGGCAAGAGCGCAGCAGCAGCGGCAGCAGAAGGCAAGAGCGCAGCACCAGCGGCAGCAGAAGGCAAGAGCGCAGCAGCAGCGGCAGCAGAAGGCAAGAGCGCAGCAGCAGCGGCAGAAGAAGGCAAGAGCGCAGCGGCTGCGGCAGCAGAAGGCAAGAGCGCAGCAGCAGCGGCGGCAGAAGGCAAGAGTGCAGCAGCGGCAGCAGAACGCAAAAGCGCAGCAGCTGCGGCAGCAGAAGGCAAGAGCGCAGCAGCAGCGGCAGCAGAAGGCAACAGCGCAGCAGCAGCGGCATCAGAACGCAAGAGCGCAACAGCTGCGGCAGCAGAAGGCAAGAGCGCAGCAGCAGCGGCAGCAGAAGGCAAGAGCGCAGCAGCAGCGGCAGCAGAAGGCAAGAGCGCAGAAGCAGCGGCAGCAGCAGCAGCGGCAGCAGAAGGCAAGAGCGCAGCAGCAGCGGCAGCAGAAAGCACGAGCGCAGCAGCAGCGGCAGCAGAAGGCAAGAGCGCAGCAGCAGCGGCAGCAGCAAAAGGCAAGAGCGCAGCAGCAGCGGCAGCAGCGGCAGCAGAAGGCAAGAGCGCAGCAGCAGCGGCAGCAGAAAGCACGAGCGCAGCAGCAGCGGCAGCAGAAGGCAAGAGCGCAGCAGCAGCGGCAGCAGCAGAAGGCAAGAGCGCAGTAGCGGCAGCCGAAGGCAAAAACGCAGCAGCAGCGGCAGCAGAAGGCAAGAGCGCAGCAGCAGCGGCAGCAGAAGGCAAGAGCGCAGCAGCGGCAGCAGAAGGCAAGAGCGCAGCAGCAGCGGCAGCAGAAGGCAAGAGCGCAGCAGCAGCGGCAGCAGAAGGCAAGAGCGCAGCAGCAGCGGCAGCAGAAGGCAAGAGCGCAGCACCAGCGGCAGCAGAAGGCAAGAGCGCAGCAGCAGCGGCAGCAGAAGGCGAGAGGGCAGGAGCAGCGGCAGCAGAATGTGCGAGCGCAGCAGGAGCGGCGCCAGAAAGCAAGAGCGCAGCAGCAGCGGCAGCAGAATGCAAGAGCGCAGCAGCAGCGACAGCAGAAGGCAAGAGCGCAGCAGCAGCGGCAGCA